TTTTGTTTTGGGTTTTTTGTTGTTTTGTTTTTTTTTTTTAGTAAATAAATCTTTGCAATAGTTTTGTAGGGAAAACATTGGTGTAATTTTATTTGAACAGCAGCAGTATTTCCTAGAAAAATTCTGTGGGAATAATGATTTCCTGTGTAGCATCTACACACACACACACAAAAAAAATCACTTCATAAGATATAAAGGCAACATATGTTGTAACTGAAGGATGTCACGTCCATCCATGTCCAAACGTTTTATGCAGCAAGAGATAGAAGTGTTTAAAAGTGTAACTGTGTTCCATTTATTTCACATTTTAATTAGCAGAGAAGTTGTTTACTTGTCAGCTTCAATCTCCAGAATAATTTTTTTTATTAATGCTGTTTTCTAACAGGTACGAAACAAAGTATATAGTCGAATATTGTCACTGCGTTCTCCAAATATTTCTGGGACCAGATCTCTGCAGGAACTTTTTAAAGCTTCAGGTTTGATGCAGGTACGAGACTTCAGCATAAATGGTCTAGAGCATTCCTCTGCTGCTTGAAGGAGTCCTGGAAGGTCCTGGACTACTGATTTTACTTTTTTTTGCCCCAGTGTTTAGTTGGCAACTGCCAACTGCTGTACCCTCAGTCTGGTCCCTGAACTTTCACATGCATATTTTTAGAATTCCTGTGTTTTGTTTTTACAGTCAGTGAGGTAAATGGATAGAGCCAGGCTCTGCTGATGTGATTATGACAAGTGTTCCAATAAGAATGGAAAACATGTAGCAGACTTGCTTCTGTTTTTATTCCATGATCTTGAGTGCACCTTTTGGAACTTCTTTCACTGCATGTGTGAATAACTTTCCCTGCTACCTTTTCATGATGGGGCTTTCAACAAAACCCACGTGAAGATTAAGCAGGAAATACGGTATTAAGGGAATTAGTAATATTGGTATAAAAGGAAAATGTCAAAATGTCTGTATTACGCTAAACATGGATAAATTTATTAAATGTAGTAAATGTATTTTTATCTTCCATCTCTTTATGCCACAATTATTGTTTTCTCTGAGGGAGGAAGCTTTACAAATGACTTTTAAAATACTGGAAATACTTTGTTTTTTCTTTGTTTCCCTAATGATAAAAGCTACCATGTTGTATATTTAAGTAGAGAAAATATGATCCGTAATGAAATGTCTCCATCGCACTACAGACAGATATTGAGCCCTTCTGAACCAGCTCTGTTCTTTGGTTTAAAATACAATAGTGGAGCAAAGGCGCAAGGGCAATGTTAGTTTAAAAATTCCTGTACCATTAACCAATGGGAGAACAATTTATAAATAAGTTTGGACCTTAGAACTCTAATGGATTTGAGAGTTCTGTTCCCCTTTTTCTCAGTACCTGTTTACCTGCCTTCTTTTTGTTTCTTTCATTTCTGTTTTTCTTCTTTTTTTATTCTGAGGCTGCTAGTTGTCTGCTGCCCTGTATTTAAAACAGTACTGGCATCAATCAGGGGCATGATTTCAATGAAATATAGGTAGCACAGTCATTGACTCAAAGGGAAAATAAACTTTATTAGGAGAAATTAAATTTGGACTTTCATACCATTCTTAAAGTCTTGTGCCACTACTATCCTCTGGCAGATAAATACTGGCAAGACATGTAATTTGCAATAGTGGTATCTTTGATATAGTGACTTCCATTGTCTCTTTTTTTGTCCTTCAGAAATGGGTGAATAGAGAAATATCCAACTTTGACTACCTTATTCAGCTGAACACAATGGCAGGACGAACTTACAATGACCTTGCTCAATATCCTGTGGTAATTAAAATAATTTTTAAATTTTTGCAAAAGGTATGTGTTTTTTCTGTTTTGAAAGATGGATTTTTAATCTCAGTTTGATCTTTGACTCTTTTCTTAGTTCCCCTGGATTTTACGAGATTATACTTCAGAAGAACTGGACCTGAATAATCCTGCAGTCTTTAGGGATCTGTCCAAACCCATAGGGGTGGTAAATGAAAAGAATGCTAAGGCTGTGAAAGAGAAGTATGTATTTGATTGCTCAGCTATATTTCTCTCTCTTTTCTGAGCCTCCAGGCTAATAACACATTTTAAAAATGAAGTGGTGACAGTGAAATTTTTAAAAGCTAGTTTTATAACGTCACAGATGCATTTGCAAAGGTTGTTGATTTGTTGTTCCTGCTGCATTCAGATTAGTTTATATGGCACTGAAATGACAAAACTTACTGTTGTAAATTTTCAATTGTTTCTCATGTGGAGATGAAAAACTGAAAGGCTGTAGAAACACTTAATTTAATGGCCCAGCAGCTTTAAGAGACGTACGGTGTCCCATGTCTGCTTCAAGATAAGGAATGTGAAATCATACTGATGAGTTGAGCTGCCTGTGCTGAGAGGTAGCATTGATCCTAAATCTGTGCTTCCTGCCCTTTTTTTCAAGCATAGATTATTATTTTTGAAATAAAATATAACTCAGTGACTTACAGCAGCTCCTCTGTAGGTAGGAATGGCAAGTACTTACACCCACACATCAGTGTAGCGATCCTTCCTTTTTTGCTAGTGTGGGGAGTGAGTGTGCTATCATACCAGATGGCACTTGCCAGGCTGCTTCCAAAACCAGCTTTCTTCTGAAAACTTGGAACATGGAGAATTTTCTCTGAACGATTAGGCTCTATCCCTGACTGTAATGAAATTGGTTCTCTAGCAGTATGTTTATCTGTAATTTCTCTTACTAGCCTTGTGGCACTGAGGAATATATCAGCCAGATGATGGCATAGTACTGTAGAGTGAGTTTGCTAGTAGAAAAGGAAATGGACATGAGTGTTAAATCTCTTTTCTGCATCCTGACACAGTCACACACACACACACTCTTTTTTTGGTTTTTTTTTTTTAAATCTTGCAGGAAACTGTCACAAGTCCCTTCAGTAATAAATATTCAGCTTAGTGATGTGGGGTTTTTTTTGTTGTATAAAGTCATGCTAAATCAGGCCTGTCTTGCCCAGTTTCTGACAGGTGATAGCAGATGCCCAGGGAAGAGTATAAGAACAGGCATGCAAAGGCTTCAGCCAGGGTACATTTCTATCTTTCAGCAGTCTTTTGCTTAGGGACTTTGTAAGTCAGGATTTCCTCATGTTTAATAGAACTCAATGTATTTTTCTCTGCTGTGATTGCTTCTTTTGAATCCTTGCCTCCAATAAGTATAAGCCACATAGTGCTTAACTACTGTAGTGCTCAGTTGTAATTATAAAGATTTATTTTTTTAGATATGAGAATTTCGAGGATCCTCTTGGAATAATTGACAAATTTCACTATGGGACACATTACTCAAATGCTGCGGGTGTCATGCATTATCTCATTCGGGTAGAACCTTTCACAACACTTCATATCCAACTTCAAAGTGGCAGGTATGCTGTGAGCAAATAAGCAGCACCTTTATTTTTCTTCTTTATCATTTACTGAGGGAATGATCAAAGTCTAACCTGAGTTTTCTGATCCACAGATTTGACTGCGCTGACAGGCAGTTCCACTCTATTCCTGCTACCTGGCAGGCTCTCATGGACAACCCCAATGATGTCAAGGAACTTATCCCAGAGTTCTTCTACTTCCCAGAGTTCCTGGAGAATCAAAATGGTAAACTGACTGCTCAGAATATTCTCACAGAAAACTGTTCTTGCATTCTTCAGAACAGAATTGTTACAACCATTTGTGAATGCTGTGGACCACTTCTTTTTTAAGCTTTATAGTGTGCTTGTAGAAATTATTTTAATCATCATGCTAGCTTCAGACTGTTTAATGAAGACACCAGTTGTGTTAAGCAGCAGCCTAAACGTTGTTTAAAATTCAGACTGGGGGCTTAAGGATTGCTAAAACTAGTGTTGTTTACCTGATGTAAAATATCAGAGATGCTCGTTTGGATATTTGAAAAAGTTAGCAATAATTAATCTTGATTAAATAGTTAGCAAAAGTTAATGCAGATTAATTAGTATTCTTTTTACTGGGTTCATTGGGTGATAGAGTTTGGACATCTTCAAGCATGTGAGGTCTTTTATTTGTTCTGGGCAACCAGCATATTTTCTGCTTGTTACTGTTACCTTCCAATGCAATGTTAAGTCACCTGATTCTAGAGCCATGTAAGGTTTCAGTACCCATCAGAAGAAGGGAAAAAAAAAAAGCTGTTTTACTCACATAATGCTGATTGAAAAGACAGCATCCTGCATTCTGATATGAGACTCCTAGCCACTTTTTAATTCACATTTATTGCATAGGGAATTGTTTCTCTACCTGTTAGACAATTTAAAAATGGATTTGTATGTTTGTGCTGCTGCTATTTTAGTCTGCTAGCTACAATCTACTAGACTTCTAAGTTACAAAAATTGGAAACACCAATTTCATCTCTTGCAAAAGAGACACACTTTCAAAAGTCACACTTTCAAAAGTCATTTAAGTATTTAGAGTTGTTCTAATGAAAGCTGGTGGGATTTAAGACTTCTTGAAAGCCTTGATTCTACAACCATTTAAACCTGTAAGTAGCTTCATTCTTAGGAATAACCTCATTGAAATATTTTTGACTCTTAATCCTGGTAAAACAAAGCAAATGCAGATATGTTTACAGATAGGTGTGTAAATGATTAATGCTACTTTTAAGGTTGGGACTTCAGCTTCGAAATCATTTAGGTGCTTTGGACAATTGTTATCCTGTATCATTTAACATTTTAAACATTTAGTGCAGGACTTAGCCTCCTATGTCAGTGGTAGGGTTATTGGAGATTTACATTAAGAATTTTTCAATATCCTTCCCTTGCATTGAGAAAAGAATGCTTTTTAATCTTTATTAAGAAACCAAGATATTTGAAATATCTTATCGTAACTCTTAAAATTCTCCACATTATTCACTAGGTTTTAACTTAGGTCAGCTTCAAATATCCAAAGAGGTGGTAAATGATGTTGTTCTCCCCAAATGGGCCCACTCCCCAGAAGACTTCATCTATAAACACAGGAAGGCTCTGGTAAGATGATATTTGATAAAGAAAGTACACCCACACATTGTCCCTGTGGCTTAAGTGTAAAATACTGGGACTACATTCAAACTAGAGTTGTGGTTGTATCTGACATTCCAAGTACCATTAGAACTTTCAGTTAAAAGCACTGTGCGTGCTGATAAAATGCTCAAAAGAAAAAAGGAAAGAGCCTGAAGATAATAATCATTTGGGAGTTTGCTGCTCTAGGAAATAAAATGCAGAATTAGGTGGTTTTAGGTAATAAGGCTTCTCTTGCTTTTTAAAGATTATTCTGTATGGTACTAGGGAACTAGCAGCTTACCTTCCCTTGCACAGTTGCATTTCAATATTCTAGATGTGCTGCTTCACTGTATTAATTTTCCCTCTTACCTGGCAGTTACTGCCCTTAACACACACGAATATTCTTATGGTTCTGCTCTATACATTGGTATATACCTAGTTTGTGGATAGTTTAGGAATTAAATCTCTTTCACAGAAAATAGTAAATACTTCAAGAAGGGAGCAGTACTTCTCTTACTCTTACAAGAGCATTTTTTTCTTTCTAGGAATCTGAGTATGTTTCTGCTCATCTTCATGAATGGATAGATTTGATTTTTGGCTACAAGCAGAGGGGACCAGCTGCAGTGGAGGCACTCAATGTGTTCTATTATTGTACTTATGAAGGTACAAAGCAGTATGCTCTCTTGTCATTGTCATCAGACTTGTGGGTTTTCAGTATTAGACAGAAAACACTTGATTTGTGAGCATGCCATACAGTAGCATATAGTAAGGCAACAGAATTATAGATGAAATATGGCAGCATAACTTATAATTTATCATCAAATAACCAGACTATTTGATGCTTTGATCAGAAGTTGTGAACCTGAAATGTTAATAAAGTTTTTTTTAAAGGAGGGCTGTTCCAGTTGCTTGTATTTTGTTTCTAACAGTGCTTGGGTTTTTTTTTTAGTTTCTCATTTGCTTGTTTAAAAGCATTTGTGGGAAGAGGTTTCTTGTGGTTTAAGCGTCAAAGCAAGTTGCTTTAAAAACAACAGATATTGAAGACAAATGTTAGTCTGTTAATTCCAAAGGTGAATTTTGGATGGCTTTTGTGTGCAACTTACTGCATGCATGAAGTATATTAAATTCATTTGATAAGACAAAACCCTGCAATTCTTGCACTTACAGATACACTTAAAATTCCACGTGCAGAGCAGAGCTTTTCTGGGGTAAAGGGTGATAATACTGCAATTAATTTGTTTTGCAACATTTGTTGACCATATCGGTTCTCAATAAGTTGTTTGGATTATGTTTTTTCTTTTTTCTACCCTTCATCGTTCTGGTTGCGATCCAGGAGCTGTGGATTTGGATGCTTTAACAGATGAGAAAGAAAGGAAAGCTTTAGAAGGGATGATAAACAATTTTGGGCAAACTCCCTGTCAGCTGTTAAAGGTAATGCTCTTTGTTGCCTCTCAATTAGACCTTTGTGGTTAAATCCAACTTACAAAGTTGGATTTACAAAGGACTTCTGACAAAATGAGAAGATAATGGTTTATAATTTTAGGAATGTTAAGTCTTTGCCACATTACATTTGTAAAGGTCACTTTGATGGAAATTTAGCATATCGTTTTCAAAAGAAATTGATTTACTTTAAGAATGGAAATTGCCAATAAGATTCCAAGTATCTTTGACTTGAACAAAATGACAAATTTGTCTAATTTGATATTCCTTTGAATATCGTCTCCTAGGAGCCCCATCCGCAAAGGCTGTCAGCAGAAGAGGTGGTGCAAAGACTAACTAAAAGTGATACCTCTACTCTGAATCTCTTCCAGCACCTCACTGAACTGAAGTCATTCTTCATAGAGGTAGATGTGTTACTTGAAATTGTTTAAAGTCTAATCTGAAACTTCTGATGTACTTGAAACAAAAGGTCACAACCTAGATGAAAATAAACTTGCTTCCTATTTAAAGAAAATATTTTAAAATGCAATGTATATAAAATGAGCTCTGTCTTTTTAGTTAGCTTAGGTTGAATCCCATAAAGTTGTATCTGCTGGCCACTTGTGTGGTGGTGTTTGAGTATTAAGTTAGCCACCACACAAAGAAAGCTAAGAACATCGCTGGTGGTATCTGAGGACTCACTGAACTTGGTAGCTAAACTCACTGATTCAGGACAGAGCCAGGGTTTCATTTCTGGTGTTCGCGACAAAGCATACCTGTGTGAACTGAATATGTGTGTACCAGTGCCTTAGAGAACTGTAGAGGTCTGACATTGATTCCAGAGGCCTTGGGTCTTACTCTTTACAGGTTCTAGATTTGTCCTTTAGCTCTTGGATATAATAAGACCAAAACCATGTCCTTTCTCTTAGGGAATCAGTGACGGTGTGCCCATTGTCAAAGCTGTTGTCCCCAGAAATCAGTCACGTTCCTTTATTTCTCAGGGAAGCCCAGAGATCTTGGTGAGTTGCATGTGTCAATACTATTCTTAGACTGCAGACAGTCAAATAGGTGTATTTTTTTCATACAGCTTGTAGAGAAACACTTCTTAACTGTTCCTGTTCAAATGTGTTCCTTTAATCTATAATGAATGTCAGCTATAAGTTAAATATTTGCCTTCTGAAGAGAAGCCAGGCTGATTTGTTGAATGTTATTTAAGAGCTGATGAGACATGAGTGTAAGTTGTAGTGAGGTGTATTGTAAGTTGCCCACTTGATCCACTTCTATGGTAGCAATCAATTTCCTAATGCAATGCAGCCCAGCTTTAAAATGACAGGATTGAGTAATTAATGGCATCGTTATGTTTGTCGTTACTTTCCAACGCATATAAATGGAACTATACCGTATGTGGCATATACACACTCCAAAGGCCTGCACTGTTTGTAAAATTAACTTTTGCACTAATACAGGTGCTGGTACTATGGCAGATGGCCAAATGATGATAGGAGGAAAGTGTTTGTGTATTTACATCTGTATGTATGGTCTGCGTACTGGCCCCTGTGCAGTAATACCTGTGTTTTGCAGGAAAGAATATTCTTTTCCAATATTCCTATTTTGTAGGTCAAACTTACTGTCCTGGCTTAATGTGGTATGTGCATATGTAATTTGGAATTTGGACACATCTAAAATTCTCATTGTGTTTTCTCTAAATATCTGATGAAAATAACCTTGAATATTTAGATTCCTTTCTTACTTTCTCAGAAATAGAACTGTAGTACAATTTTTTTAAAACTTCCTGTGTTAATATGTTAACTATTAATTATTACTATTTCAAAGAAGAGGTTTAAACTAAATGACTGAATTTGTAATGAAATGTTTGAGAGGGGTTGGTTGGCTTGGCTTTTTGGTTTTTGTCTCCTCCCCACCCTGCCCCTCCTCTTCAACTTCTCTGACCTGTCTAGAACATACACTATTCTAACTTGATAATACCACATGTGGATTAACTCATCTGAGCTGTTTGGGTTTTTTTAAATATTTGTGGGGGGAGGAGTGTGTGTGCTTTTTTTCTTTGTGGTAAATTCTCAAGAAGCCTATGCTGGATTTTATGCAAGCTCCATTACCATCAAAGGCAAGCAGAAAATATGCCTCTGGGTTTCACTGATTTTTCTATCAAAATTTTTAGGTAACGGCAAGTCTGAACTGCATTATTGGAACTCATGGTTGGCTACCCTATGATAAAAATATCTCCAACTATTTTACATTCATCAGAGATACCACAGTGACAAATCCCAAGTAAGCAAATGATGAGGAGAGGTGCAGATGAATGCATCTACAGTAATAAAATACAGTAATTGTTCAACAATCAGTGGATCGTACTGTTTTCATTGTCTGAGTTTTCACCTAAGAATGCATCTTCTGATGTTCAATAATATTACCTCTAATCTGTAATACTGTTCTGGTAAAGAGTTGTGTAAGTGGCATTTCAAGGTTCTTCATTCTTAGAGCTACTTCTAATTTTTTTTCTAATTATCAGTCGTAAAAACTAATCTTGGAATCTGAGATGGGCAGTCTTCATACTTTCTTATGCTATAGTGCAGGTATATGTGGTGGTTTTGTTTCTTTTGTTTTTAGAAGATTCCTTTTTTCTTTAATGTTACAATACTTAGTAGGGACATGAGTTATCCATATAGAATCAAATTGTATAAAAGACAGAAAAGATCTAAGGTGAAATCTTGCTTCCACTTGCTGATGGCAGTGAGAGTTTTGCCATGGATATCAGGGGGCCAGAATTTAACTTTTTTTTAAATTTTCTATATATAGCCTCTTCTATACATGGAATTTCTTATTAATTTTTAAGGATATAGGAAGCGCAAAATACATTGATTCGAACTAAGGTTACTCTTAACTGCTCATCATTTGCCTACAGAACACAACGCAACATGAGTGGTCCTTTTGCACCGGGGCTGGAGATCACCTCTAAGTTGTTTGCAGTATCCCATGATGCAAAACTGCTCTTTAGTGGAGGACACTGGGACAATAGCATCAGAGTGACATCTCTTACAAAAGGCAAACTGATTGGACAGCACATCAGGCACATGGGTTAGTAGCTCTTTATATTGTGAAATGAAAGGTTTTATGTATTGTACCTTGATGTTTGGTCTTCTGGGAAAGAATTATAGCCAGTGCACTTGAGCAGACAAGCATAGCAGTTATAAAGGAATGGCAGCGTAAGAACGAACAAAATACTTGAATCATGATTATACGTAAATACTTGAGCATGGTTTTTTAGTTGTTGTAGTGATGGTTTAATGTAATTTCAAAATAAGGCTTGACTGCTGGTTTTAGTTCAGCCCTTTTCACAGTGGAACATTTCATGCTGACTGCAAATCAGGATGCATTGTTGACATATTGCGTGCACGTTGTCACTCTGTGGGAAATTAGTCTTAAATATCTATGTGATAACTTCCTGTTTTCTTTCCTTTATCTAGATATTGTGACCTGCGTGGCAATAGACTACTGTGGAATTCATTTAATTTCAGGCTCCAGAGATACTACCTGTATGATATGGCAAATAGTTCAGCAGGTAGGTTATTTAGGCATACTCTTGAGAAGCAGTTTCTGAATGTTCTTTGTGCTTCTCTGTTTTGCTGTGATGGTTTATTGATTTCCTTTCTTTCAGGTTTGCAGGGAAGGTAGTCCACTAAAGTTGATTAGCTTGGTAATTTTGCTACTCCCGTTGTCTTCTATGTTTGAAATATTCACTATACACATTAGTTATTATATAGCTGAAGTATGGTATTTTAGAGGCACTCTTAAAGATTTCATAGATTATTTTCAGGGTAGACAAATATCCCCTATTGTACAGCTGGAAGAATGGAAGAAGAGAGACACTTCTTGAGACTACTGAAATTAGTCAGAACAATGTTTGTAGTTGAGCATTTTTACGTTTCTAGGCTGCTGTTCGCTCCAGTAGTTGCATTTTAGAATTGCGTTTCCTCTGTGGGAAGTACTGATGACTATACTAGGAGTTAGGAAAAACAACGCTAGTCTGTTACCTGGATTTATGCTAGCATTTTAGAATCCTTTAATATTGGTCTTGTGCTTTCACACAATGAAAGCAGCTGTGTGATGCGTGTGCATACTTACACTCAAAACGTGAGGCCATTTCCATTGTTATGCATTTTAAATGTTCATTTCTCATTGCTGCGTTACAGATATACGAGTAGGATTAACTGCAGGGGGCAGCTGTCATGTTATGGACAGTACATTTGGTCAGGTCACCCTGTTCTTATTGAACTAAAGTCAGCGCATGAAACCAGTACAGTGGTGCATAACTACATGTGTTTTTGTGGAAGCTGCCTTTATGGTGGTAGTATTTATAATTCTTTCAAGAAGTACTTTGTACCAATAGTGCGTGGTCAAAAAGGTGAGACCTTAGTGCTCACAACAGTATGGTGTGTGGTGGTTTTTTTTTTGTCTCAAGCAAGGATAGATGTTGGAAATTTTTTAGTTTATTTATCTTTTCAGTGTCAGTTAAATAAGTCATCCTCTGGAGATTATCTTTGTTTAGAATTGCTTTTTCTTAAGATTTTTAATGTATTTTTTATTTAATGGATGTATAAATGATGATGTATGTATTGTAAATTCTTCTTGTGAGAGTTTTATCTTGGTCTTTACAAAGTGGCAGCAATGGACTGCATACTGTCACTTCCGTTCTACTTGTCTGCTCTGCATTGTCAACTTCTTTCCCAGCTCTGTATTTTGACACTTGTTCTGCATTTCTGCATGCTTCAGGCTTTCAGGGCTTGGTTGGCAGTCAAATTTCTACCACAGAAATGAGAATAAAGAGTCCTCTGCAGAACTATTTACTGTACCTTCTCTCTAAGCACAGGTCTTGCCTTAGAACTGGTTTGAGAATAAGTCTGTATATGCTGACAGTACACTCACTGGAACAAAAGTACTAAATAATTTTGACACCCTGCAGTCATGTGGGAAAATGACTTTTTAATGAGCATTATTGCAAGGTTTCCTTTGCATATCATACTTCTGGTAGTCACTGAGAAGGATTATTTCCTCACTTTTCCTTAGAAAATGGGACAGATTTGCTGTAATTTTAAGCAAAATAGCTTTCAGTTTCTTTAAGCTTGACTGTGAAGATAGTGCTTAATTCTAGTGTAAACTGTAAGAACTGAACAAGCGCAGATACACAGGTGAAGAAAAAGTGGGTGGATGGGTGGGTGAACAACTCCTATTAGGACTGCTTACTGTGGTCCTTGCACACCTGGACATCTGAAGAGATAGAAACAAGTCAGCTAAGTAACTCTGTCTTTCACATCCACATAGTAACTATGTTCGTTCATTCTTGTGATTTCAGTAAATAGGGCTGCTGACATAAAAGGCAATAAATTGAAATTGGAATGGGTGAGTTATGCCTTTGGTTTTGGCCTATGTCAAATATACATCTCTCACAACTGATACTGAAGATACCAGAAATTTATTTTTTGTTTGTCCTTCAGCTGCAAGAGAATGTGTCATTGCACTTTTTGTTACTCTCAGGGAGGAGTGCCTGTAGGCCTGGCACCTAAGCCATTACAGATCCTTTATGGGCATACTGACGAAGTTTCGAGTGTTGGCATCAGCACTGAACTGGATATGGCAGTGTCAGGATCCAGGGTAAGCGTTGTCATACTTTTCCCTTCTTTGCCGCTTCTCTACTCACACCATAGAGTTTGAAGTTGATTAAGAATAATACAAAAAATGTGACTATTTCACGATTTTTTTTCTTCAGTCTTGTGCATCAAGAAGATATGTTCCATCTCCCTTGCTGCCTGCTTAAATCAGGCTGTCTCAAACTGCTCTGCACAGCATAGACCTCAGCCACCATGTTGTGTTATTCTGCACAGATGAGCTTTAACATGTGTGGACTTATTTGGAGAGCTTAATCTTCTCATAGAAACCATTCTGTGACAGTTTCTTCCCTGCTTCCTTAACCTTGAATGTTCTGTGCAGCTTACTCATGCTCTACCTTACTGTACTACACTGGCAGGCTTCTGAACTCTGACTTTGTACTGCACATAATGCCTACTCATAAATGTGACCTATGAAATGGCCGATTTGCTGCCTCTCCTTCCTCTCTTGCCCTGTTTGCATTTGTTTTTTCATATGCCTATAGTACATGGCCTTGAGGGGAAGGCTTCTTTGTGTAGAGTTCCTAATGCTCAGGAGTCTTGGTCTCCAGTTAAGAATTTAAGTGCTTTCAAAATATTCCCTCTGTATTTAAATACTCTTTCTGTGTGTTGCGGTAACTTACCTGCTGAGTAACAACTTACCTAAATTTGGTCACTGCAGGATGGGACTGTTATTGTCCACACTATTCGGAAAGGTCAGTACGTGAGGACTTTGCGACCACCTTGTGAGAGTTCTCTCCTGCTGACTATTCCCAATCTGGCTGTGTCCTGGGAAGGCCATATAGTTGTCCACACCAGCATAGAAGGAAAGACTACTCTTAAGGTACTTAGGTTCATGGAATGCCTCTGTTTCTTTCGCTGAAGACTTTAATCATAAATGTACTAAACTTTATCCTTATTTTCTAAAGTAATGAGGCTTTTTGAGCATGCTATGTCTGTTTCCTTATATTTTTTATTTTGCTAGCCAATTTGAGTGAAATTTGATTAAAAGATGTATCACTGACATACTGTGCTCCTGTAAGTGTCCTGAAAATCTCCAAACACCTGCAAGGAAGATGCCCAAGCACATGCTAATGAATCTTCCTGGGAGAGCCGCTTTGAAATGGAAAACTAGGAGAAGCAAGTTCCACTGTGCACAGAAACAGAGGCTTATAAGGGGAGCAGTAGGTTCTGGGTGCAAGATGCCCAGTGACTACACTGATGTTTCTTAGTTTTAGATTGGAGAGATAGCTATAAGGTTCACAGTGTAGCTTATTCTGTCTATTGAGTAGCTGTGTAGTTGCTTTAATAAGGGTAGAGCTGTTACGATTTCTATGAGCATGGGAGATTTCTTGGAAGACAAATTTATTGGATGTAGGCACGCTAGCTGGAAGATGGGGAGAGAAGAGACCAAGGTACTGTCAGGCTGGAAGAACTTAAAATAGTTGCGTTAGCTGCATCTTTAATCCATCAAGAATTCATCGCCTTGTCCAGAAAATGCTTCTAGATCTAGCTCTGTGGAAATATACCTATTTCCTTCTGCTTTTCAATTTGGGGTGGGGGAGAGGGAGCGTGGCAGCAGGGCTGAAGATAAGAGTGCTCTCTTCCTTTCTTCTTCCTTGACAAAAACGCTTATAAAATAGGGACCTATCCATTAAATCCTTGGATGTTTCCAGAAAACTTGGAATTGATTAGATGGATAGGTAAGACGTTACCATGTTACATCAAGAGGTAACGGGAGTAACTTCAAAAATTTCCATACAGGACCTGGTATACATGCATATTGCGTATAGGCTAGGTACTCTTCTATCATTCAACAAGGAAACTGTTGTCAGTAATATTATCTGTGGGTTATTGCCCAAGTTAGCTCCTGTTAGTGAGCTAAAGATACAAATAATACACTCTTAATCCAGTCAGTCCTCTGTGACGGATTTATTTTTGATCTATTCAGGATAAGAATGCATTACATCTCTATTCTGTCAATGGAAAATATCTGGGTTCTGAGACTCTGAAGGAGGAAGTGTCAGATATGTGTGTGACTGGCGAGTATATCGTGATGGGCAGCTTACAGGGATTTCTTTCCATACGGGATCTCTACAGGTAATGTACCACCATCAGTAGTTTATAATTGACGTGCAAATATAAAGGCTTATTGAGAAATGGCTGTGTAACATGGACTTTGCTTGGTGCTGTAGGTGGTAGCCATTGCTCTTTTTCTGTGTCCCTGAAAAAACTCTTTTGGGGGGAACTAAGATAGGGAGAAAAGAAAAATGAGATGTTGCACCAGACCCCTTTCTTCCTAGGCATTTATCCCAATTCTACACCTAGAACTGACAGAATTTAGGAAGAGCTGTGTCTGACATCTGCAAGCTGTGATTTGTCTTAATTTACTGACTTACCCAGCCATGCCTTTTCTTGTTATTGGACCTCTATTCTGGGGTACAATTAGATCGTTCCTTAGGAGTTTACAATAGTTGAAATTGCAAACTGGATCCTTGAGAAACTGTGTTTTATAGTGCATCCTGTAGACAGCAATTTCAACTGCAGTGTGATTCTTTGCAGTATGTGCAAACAAATAGATGATGTGCTTTCTCTATGTGGTTTTTGTTCATTTCAGCCTGAGTCTCAGCATCTCCCCCTTAGCCATGCGACTGCCAATTCACTGCATTTCTGTCACGAAAGAGTATAGCCACATCCTTGTTGGCTTGGAGGACGGCAAGTTGATTATCGTTGGTGTTGGCAAGCCAGCAGAGGTAAAACCCACCATCAAGAACTTTTTCTACCGAACAGTGGGAAGTTCACTTATTTCTGCTTTCCAGTTGAGCAAGAGGTCTCCTCTATGGCAGGGTAAATTTAAGAGCAAGTTTCAGTTTTCAGTGGGAAAGAAATAACTTTTGAGACTGCTCTACTGAAATTTCTCATTAAGAATCAAAGGTATATAGGGATTGGAGATGGGAAGCTCAGCTGGACTAACTCCCAGACTTTATCACTCACATCTGAATAAGCAAAGTCATAGTAGCTAACCTTTTCTGAACGTGATAGTGTTGTCAGCCACTTCTTGATGAAATAATTTTCCAGAAGAAAATTGGAAATGAAAGAGAGCAAGCTACTTTATTTTTTTATGGTTTCTGTCAGATATCTTTTAATATGCATTGACTGACATTGGGGAAAAAAAAATACTACTACTTTCTGTTAAGAGTCTCTAATTGCAATGCACAGAGAAGCACTTGTGTAGGTTCCCAATATGCTCTCTGCTCCATACGGTGAATATAAACTTGTTGGTACTGCATATGCAATATCAAATACAGAGCATCCATCTGCCAAATAGCTATGCCCAATTTTTCTTGTGCAAAACATAGATTTTGCTTTAGGTACTTCTTGTCATGACTTTCAACTTACTCGAGTTAGCTTAAACCTGCTTCTCTTTATAACCCAATCTCCGCTGTGCTGTAGTGTGTTTATCTGAAAGTGTGATTATCACTTCTGCATGACCTTTAGTACATGGCAGAAAAGTGTGTCTTAATTTAATTTTATATTTTAATTGTGAAAACAAAGTGACTTTATTTGCCAGTATTTTAAAATGTTTTAGCTAGGAAATACACAGTTTAATATTTGAAACAGGCTTCACACAATGTTAGTCTGATCTTGCTTGCAGCGGATGGGGAAGGGAGGTTTCCACTTCCAGTTTGTCAATTCTACAGCAGGAAAAAGCTGTCCAAGAGCTGCTTATGATGTGGTTAAACATATGTTTGTAACAGCAGTTTTAAAGTCACTGTCACTTCTAAGCTTCCTGTTCCATAGGAAAGATCTTTTGTAGGCTGAAAATTATGTATCTCATTAGACTGAAGGCTTGTTTTCTTTTTTTCAGTTCTTAATCACATCTATTTTTCTAACTATGGAGAAAGTGTTGTTTCAAAGACTGGATTCCTTTTATGAATGTAGAGGCTTTCCAATGACGGGTTTTTTTCCAATATTTTCTGTTTATAATTCAGATGATCTGCAAGCTTAATATCCATGTAAAGAGATTTTAAAAAAAAAAAAAACCAAAACCCACAAACGTATAAGGAACAACATTGTCCCAGATTTTCTAGTTTTCTATAATGGCATCAATCAATATATTTCAAAAGCATATGTATGTGGGGTATTTATTTGTTGATTGATTTATTTGTAGTTTGGAAGGAATATATTCATTACTAGAATTTTATCCTTATACAGAAGACAGTGTTGTAGTCCTGGCTTTTGGTGGTGATACTGATCCTTAGGATAAAGGGAGAGACCGACCTTTATTGTGTGTAAAGTGAAATGCTGCTTGGTATTAAGATTGGCCTTTAGTGTTTCTGCATTGACAGTATCCAGTATGAAGTGAAGTATTATAAATGTTTTTGTATTTTTAACAATTACGTAGCTGTTTGGGATGTTGCAGAAGTCTGGGGTATTATCACCCGTTAGTGTTAATCCCTGTCAGCACTGTGCCTTTTCTAGAACACTGCTGCTGTGATGATACAGTTCTTAAGCATGCTTAATTTGTAGTACTAACTGCTGAGAACTGTTCTCAAACTTGTGCGGTTAAGGTGTGCATCTTGTTTATTAAACTGCAAGGGATTTCATAAACTAATCAGCTGCTAGGCTGATCACTACTGGCCAATCATAAGCCTTGTACTTAAGGAGTAAATTAAAACAGTTTCTTCCAAAGTGTTGTCAGATTGCAGACCTACCAGATGCTGGATTTAATATGGCCTCTGGTTGCTTGTTATCTGTCTTTACTTATGGAATATTCAGTATGAATTATTTCTGGTTTAAATTTTACTCTGAGCACTTCACCCAGGAACTTTGGAAGACTGTATAAATTTGACACCAGGAGATAACCTTTCTCTCTTTCCTTCATTCTGCCATCACTGCTCTGCATTTTGGTTATCTTTTCCTTTTCACTTCTAGCAATTTCTGTTTGCAATATCTAAAATAAAATGTCCTTTCTTCTAATTTGGTTCATTTTTTTTTGACACTCACCTCTTTTTTTCCTTCCTATCAAAATAGCAATCTAAACACTGTTTCTAAGCCGTTTGAAATAGGTTAAGTATTAAATATGCATTACTTGGCAATATCCCTTTAACTGTTCAAAATCAGAGAAGACTGTGATTAGTGTTTTGTCTGTTGTTTTTTGTCAGTCCCAAGAACCATCCCTTATGTGTAACTTTTGGTTTGTTTTAAAATAATTTTTGTTGGTGTAGTTTTGTTTATGCGGTACATTGTAGTGTCTGCATTTCACCAGAATCAGTGTCTGAATTCCTTTTTAATTTATCCACCTTATCCCTTCCCCCTCCTTTTGTTTCTCTGAATTACTTTTAAACAGATGCGCTCAGGTCAGCTTTCCCGAAAGCTGTGGGGATCAAGCAAACGGCTCAGCCAGATTTCATCAGGAGAGACTGAATATAACACTCAAGATTCCAAGTGATTGCTGCTTCTACCTTCTCTCATGGATTCCAGAAACATATTTAATCTTTTGGTCACTTTAATTGTATAGCTCAACTTTCAGGGGCTTGATTCTTAAGTCTGTTGAAGATGAACCTATGGTAGAGGTATAGTAATAAGCATATGTACTCATGCAAGTTAGCTTGCTTGCATATTTTTCCTTAACTGTGTTGACTTGGTCACAGCAGAATCCCTCTCTAACTAGCTGCTAAAACTGTGCTTCAGGAAAAAAGAAAAGAGATGGGAAAAAAAACCCCAAAAAAACAAAAAAGAAAAACCCAAAACCCCCCCAAACCTCCAAACCCAAGCTTGCTAATTGAATTTAAGATAAGTAGCATTTGATTTAAAGCTGTGTATGGCCAGATGCTCCTTGATCACAAAGAAGGTATTTGGCTTTGCTTTGACAGCATTGTAATTCCCCAGCAGTAAATTAAAATCTGGCAGTTATAATGGTCAGATTCAAAATTGGGATAGCTGATAGTAATGACCTTTTCTATATGGTTTTTAGGCCAATGAACAATTTATTGCAATTTGTTCCTGTAAATGGCTATTGCTATCTTCTTTTGTGTAGTTTCAGTTTTAGGCTGTTCTGCAAGGAACATCTGTGTTGCACTACTTGATTATCAGAAATTGTTTAAAGTACAGGCATGAATAACTTCAAAGGAGTTGAAGGTGGTGAAGGAGCTGAAGGAGGTAGGAAATACTTGCTGCTGAAAATTATTTATATTGTTAAGTAGACTAAGACACACACCAAGAAATCCCATAATATATTTAATGTCTTGAAGAAATACAAAGGAAGACTCAGTATCTATATTGGTCAAAGATCAATCTGCTTCATTAATAAGGCAACTCCTACAAACCAAAGATAAATTTCCACTGCAAAATCATTTAAACAACATTGCAGCACAATTTAATTAAATAGCACCTGTTTGTTTCTTGGCTTGGTGTTCACCAAACCAGTTAGCCATATTTTTTTTTTCTGTAAAAACAAGCAGGGAAACAGATAACGTATCAATTTTCAAGATGTGTTTAAGACCTGGGAAAAGAAAATACCAGATCCTTATGTGCGCTATATCCAACGAAATAGTTATGGATTGTATGCTGTATTTTGGAGAAGCCATTACTGAATTTTTTTGGTTTAGGGATAGGTGATGGTGACAGAAGGGTGTGTGTTTTCCTATCTTTCTGACATTTTTATAATGTTAACGATTTAAATGATAAACCCCATACTGTTGGAGAAGCCTGGTGCTGAGGGAAAAATATGAATTTTTGGATCAGCGTGCAAAGGTATGTGTGCATGTGTATATATGTGTGTATGTTTGTGCGTGTGTATATATATGTATATACATGTATGTATGTCTATTAAAAGGACAAAATACCATGGGGTAAGGGGAGTATAGATATGCGGCAGAGCTATAAGTGATTGTTAGCTAGTATGTTCCCTTTTGGCTACCCCTTTCTTCCCTCTACCATCACTTTTCTTGTTATTTTTATTTATTTATGGAAATGAATGTGTGTTGTATCTCCTATAAATGTTATCAGATATTCCCTGTGGCTGGGGAGCTGTTGACCTACCTGAGGAACTCCATAATGTATAATCTCATTTCATTAACTTTTAGCACAATATTTATTAACTTTGTAGAACTAGTAATACCTCCTTACCCCGCAAAAGGATCATCTTTACAAGTTCTGTTAGTCTCATTAAAACTGTTTTCTCCTCCTCAATTTCTTTACTGGAAAAAAAAAATCCCTCTTAATGACTGATTCGCGTGCTGTGTAAAGAAAGTTGCGTTGCTTTTTCTTAACTTTTGTAAATGAAATAATAAATCAGACTAGTGAACAAGTGGGTCTATGCATAGCTGCAGTATTCTAACTAATCACTGTGACAGACTGGATCGTCTGGAAAGTTAGGAGAAAATAAGAATTATTTTCCTGAGTCACTTGCCAAGAAAGCATTAAATTTCCAAGAGTAGAGCGGTGTGGTTTTTTCAGACTCCATGTATGTGAAGAAAACACATCCCGTATTTTCAAATAAGCTATAGAGAAGTGAAAAATACTATTTTTAATCAATTACCTATCCAGTAAGAATACTAAGGATACTCTGGAAGTATTAAGTGTGTATAGGAGAATGTGAAGTATGTTTGTCCATTATGATTTCATGAAGAAAGGATTTCAGGGGAGCGCTTTTGAGAGTAGTTTAGAAGAATTTCAGCTCAGAATGTGTGATTTTTCTGTGTTATGGGAAGTTGGAAAAAAAGAACTCATTTGGGGCATTGAGTTGATGTTTTTTGTAAGTATGCATATATGTTCTGTTTAAATGCATATATGAGGTTAAGTGTTTACTTGCAGGGGAAGGGGGCAGGAAATTATGTTTCGGGCAGAATCAAGTGGAAAAATTGAGGAGCTAGGTCTTTTGTAGTGTTTGGTGAGAGCATAGTTTTCTTCTTGTCAGTTGCACAGAGGGGTTTGCATAAGGGTTTGAAAATGTCCTACTGTGGATTAGGTATGTTTATACAACAGTTGAATTAATGTTTTTAGTAGTTTAATATTAAAGAATACTGAATACACTGTGTCAGTTTAAGTAAAATATAATGTAGTTGCAATAATTGGGGATGAAAGAGTTTATGGTGAAGCGCTTTGACATTTGAATACCATCATTTCAGTGCATCGCAAGCATTAGGTGATCCTCACAAATATCTGGGACAGGTTTAAATGTAGACAGTTCTTGGGCTCTCAAACTTGAGGCTAGTTTGTGCTCTGCACAAAGCAGCAGCAGCAAAATGAGGAGGGGGACAGGTGAGCTCTGAGCTGCTTCATGCTCTACGCAGAATGGCAACCGTTGCCTTTTGATCTTTTATCTGGTCCTTGAGGATGGGAGGGTATATACCATCACACGCTTAGCGTTCTTGCCAGAGGCCCTCTGGAAAGACCCGCATAGGTTTGAAGGTCTGCACTTTGCCTTTATCTAAAACCAGCTTTAAATAAAAGATACAGGTGGTAAGTGTGAGCATTAGCTGGTATGTTGTTTCTTTCGGTTTTAACTTATTTGTATAAGTCTCTTTAGAAAATAATTTTTCTGATCAGCTGTTTAGATTGGTTGAATTGCAGTCTGTTATGCAGTGCACTGTGAATTAGTGAACTGACTTTCATAATTCTTTGATTTCCTCAAGTCAATAAAGCTTAGCATCACATTTTGTTTTTCATGTAGTATTGGTGAAATAAGATTCTCCTTTGTTTTTGAACGAAGATTTATTTAAGTGTAAAAAGTAAAGCTGTGAGATGAGAGAATTCTGATTAGGAATTCGGAATAAACAAGTCTTAAGCGACAGTTGGTTCATAACACTACATTTGTCAAGATCATCTTGGTGTTTTCTTCTTACATTTAATTTTTGGTACAACCCTAATGATGTTTATCAAAGTTTAACATATACTTACCTTTGAAGCTGAGTAAGTAAATAGGAGTGTAAATACATATATCTAAAAAACTGAAAACTGACTCTCTTTTCATACCTGTATATAAGTGAGATCAAGTAGTTAGCAATATTGAGTAACTTCTCCCTAGCACAGTTTTGAACTTGCATACCAAAGGATGATATTTAGAAGACATCTCTCCTTTATTTCAAGTAAAACGTTTGTTAAATTTCTCTTTATCAATTTACTTATAATTCTTGATAGTATTCTTAGTTGTCTTTTTGTCTGTAGTGAAGAATCTTACCTAGTCTGTGCAGTTTTTGTACTATACGAGCATTCAGAAAGTGAAATGTTTGCTGTTCAAGTTAGCATCTGACTTACGTAAATTATTCTGTATCAACATACTTGTTGTCTAATACTTGCTCATAGGATATCTAGAAACCATGTCTTCTATCATCCATATACCTTACCAACACCAGCACAAAATAATAATCCCAATCTTAAACTAACTGCACTTCTCCTGATGGTTAATACACATTGTGGAAATTAGGTTTCAGGAAGACGGTTTGATTTAAAAAGGGAAAAAAAAAAAGGTAACATCCCCACACACATATTACAGTTGTTTTGCTAATCTGCAACATTGATATAAACAAGCTTTTTTCCCCTGGTATACCTTAGATTATGAATATTATCACAAAACAGGTTTATCAAAGTCTTTACAGGCTTTAAATAGTCTAGTCAATTGGCTGCTTTATAAGGACCCTCTTTGAAGTTGTATTTCTGTGTCCTTTAAATGAAGCGCAAAGAACTAAGTTTCTGCACTGTAAAGATTCTGTATGGGAGTGGTAACAGTCCTACATCAGTCTGCTTTAAGATAGTCCTGCAGGAATGATAAATTTATTTTTATTTGTAATGCACAATTATTAGGCAGGTCTTTTAACTCTTGCCTTAGTCAATGGGAGCTGTATACCTCACTTCCCTAGACCATGTCTCCCTTCTCCCTGTTCCCTCTGCAAGTCTTTCCCAATCTCAATTAAAAAAAATCATTAGAAAATACGTGTACAGCAACCAAATGCTTCACAAAGCTTTTACCGTGTATGTGTATTTAGTTGAAAATGTGTATCTATATATGGATTATGGTATGGTAGGGAGCTTTAGAGCTAGGGAGGGGAGTAGAGGAGGTGTCAGCCTCCTTCCACTCCTACATTGAGAGTCTGTGTAGGCACTTGCTCTGTATTGTCCCCTGAAGGCACTCCTCTCTTCCACTGTTAAAGGCACCTTGCTGGCTAGGTTAGATGCTGAGGCTAGGTGCTGTGAATATTTTTTTTTTTCCTTTCAAAGAATTAAAAAAAAAACAAACCCACACGCATATAAATGCATATCCTAATGTGAACCTAAGGCCTGATCTAATAAATACTGTTAGATGAAAGCACTACATAGGGTTATATTTAATTGGGTGGAAATTCAAGCATGTGCTTCAGTGCTTTTTAGAATGGGCTTTTCATGCTTTTTGGTTTAAAAGCTATGTTGGTTTCAGCTGTAAACATGATACTTGTTAGTAGTCTCCTTTTGGGGAGAGTAACAGTTTTTGTGCAGTCATATGCCTGTGGTTCATTGTATACCAATGTTAGACTCAACTGAAGTGTTTGGAAGATGTCTTTCCTTCCATCCCAAGGAGCCAAATTCTCCTTGTTATTACTAATTGCCCTTGTTAGCACATACTTTTAAAGGAAGCAAGGGGTTTCTGAAAAGCTACTGCAGTTTAAAAAAAAAAAAAAAAAAAAAAATTGGTAAAATACTATTGTCCCCTTCTTCACTATTATAGTCATCAGATGCCTGAATGCAGAAATGCCTCTGAGTGGCAGCACAGCATGCTCTGCAGTTTGAGTCGAGTGCTATTCATCTTACTGCAGTCTTGAACACTCCATACACGAGGAACTGCTTGTAGTGTTTAATCATAGGTACCCTTTGTTCGGTTTTAATTCACCTTTTTGCTGTGCATCTGTGTAAGAAAACCAGTGTGTCTTTTTTTAGTTACCATTTACCCAAATGGCCCAGATAAAATAGGTGTTTCACTTCTTTTCTTCAGGAGAGTTCCTCTAGTTGTGTGTTCTTTGTTTTCATCTACTGGACTTGGGAAATTTGGCAAGTATTTCCAGAGCTTAGGTCTGTGATTATACTCGGCACAGACACAATTTCGTAACATGTCTTCTGTCCCAGAAGCATGATTGTCAGTATAGATTATGGTTTAAAGCTGCTAAGGTGGTTTGAGATTGAAATATAAAACATCCAGCCATAGATCTAACTGAACTTAGAGGCCACTTGTTTATTTAGCTTCCTATCTAGTCAGTATTTTCTTCTGGAGGGAGCCATATTTTTTGCCTTGAAGTAACTTTTTAAAATAAACTTTAGTCTTGCACCTGACAGTACTGCTTTAGTCATACGTAGCTGTGAGCTGTTGCTTAAAGCCATGAGGGAAAAAAAAATTCAAGGAAAACTTGTGATAATGTGTTCTGATTCAACCCTTCACTATGCAGGAGCAGCTTAATATAAGATTAGAGAAATGCTGCTTGTAAGACTTACCTCCCTTTCGTCAGTGTTTGGATGGAAGCTGTGATGCTACTCCGTTTGCTTGATGAACTTTTACTGAAGCTAATGAGGGAGTGGAAACAAAGGCCTTACAGCAAGAGTTAACCATATCTTCTGATAATTCTTACAGATTGTGCAATTGTGTGATTACAAATGGATTTTTAAATGCCAAAAAATGCCTTTTTTAAGACTTAAATGTTAGGTCTGAGGAGTGTTGGGAATACCTACTTTCAAAAATGAGCCTTCAGGCACTGTAATGAACTTGCTGTCAGTCTTCTGTGCAATATCTTTTTCCCTTCTGGGTGCTTTAAGAGTATACTGTATGTCTTAGTTTGTTTTGATCAGTATGTCTTAAGAGTGTGTATATTGGCTAATGGTGGATTTTTTTCTGTACAGCACGGTGGAAGATGTTTTAAAATTTTGCACTTTTCTAGGATTTGCAAGTTTGTAACCTGACAATTTTTAACGTGCACACTTTTGTACATAATTAGCATTGTATATATTTAACATGAGTCTGAAGCAAATAAAAGTAATTGAATGCATAACTTCTCCCTTTATTACTAGCGCAAAAATTAAACTAATAGTGTGGGAGTACACTAAAACAATTCTTCCATTTAGCAGGTTAAGCTAGGTAGCAGGAACAGCTGACTCAGTGTCCTGTCTTAATTGTGTTAAAGTAACTTTTTTTTGGTGGGGAAGGAATCAAAGTGGATAACATGAATGTACAGACCCTTTCAGACTATGAATAGCTATGATTACCCAAGTATTGCAATAAAAATTGTCTTTTTGCAGGGAAGGAGAGATGTCCGAGACGTGAATTAGGGTGGGGAAAAGAGCCCACTAACGCATATTTATCTTTATTTATAAAGATAAGGTTCTCCACCCACCCTGGGACTAGAAGCATCTCTTTCCTTCCTCCTCATTGTCTTCCCATATAGTGACTTTTGTTGTAGAATATGCAAGGCTACAGATTCTGGAGATTACTGTCAATCAGGAGGAAACTGAAATCTGTTCCAGGCTCATGTTCAGTTGGTTTCTTACCCCTGTAAACAAGACAAACCATGCTGTGAGCTTTAACAGGAGCTAGGACTACTGTGCTTCCATCTGTTACTAGGTATAGAACAAGACATCCTTATTCATAACAAGCAGAGTTTTGACTCCCTGCCTTACCTGCACCACGGGACATATATATTAGATTTCTTAGTAATGTTCATATGACTAAAGACATCCTTGTTCTAGAGTTCAATGCATTAGGGCCAAACTGGCATTCCCCTGGCCTTCAATAACAGAACTGACTGACTACTGGGGCTCTTTCTGTGAACGGTAACTACAGTTCAGAAACACAAGCATCAACAGATATAATGCCATAGCACTTAACTGGGTAAGTTAGACATCCTTTAGAGTGCTGTCATATTGCCCGCTCCTTTGGAGCGTAAAGCAATACTCATGTTTTCCCCAAAGAGAAATGGAAGCAAGTGATTAAATAACTTCTGACGTGGGGGACAGGCAGCATGTGTCAGGGGTCTAACAGAAGTCTCCCTTCCTTTCTATCTGAAGGAGGATAGCCATTCAAATGAAGCATTTACCTCAAAAACAGACGTGCTCCTGTCACTCCTTGCAAAGTGGCTTTGTCTCCTTCCACTAGCAGCATCGCACCTTCCCGCAAGCCCTAATGTAGGTGGAAACATTTAACATTATTTTCCAGCTATCTGAAAGGCTAGAATGCTTGTCACAAGCAGGCCAGTCAGTGCAGCTCGCCATGACTACAAACAAGACTTTCTCGCTCACCTATTTCGAACAAAGATGCAAAGATCAAATTAGGTGAGCTATCTTGTTTTAGAAGCTGGTGTTCTTGTTTATTTTATTTTTCCCTTTTAAAGAAGGAGAAACCATTAAGGAGAAAAGGAAAATGTGTTTTTTCCACAATTACTTCCACTATCACCATTCTTAGCTCCGGTTTGGGCCAAGCAACAGCCAGCTGGGTTTGTTAGAGCACAAACTTCATACTCCAAGCTCAAGCACAGGCACAGGACACCCAAGGTCCCACTTCCCCAGATAGACATACTGTAATTACGAATATACTACTGAATGAGCAAATTCAGAAACCTACAGAGATTAAAACAAAATGTAAAGTTAATACCACCTGCGAAAAGATTAAGGGGAGGTATCTTACCATCTGCATGCACACCACCCCCAGCATACAACATACGACTGGTGGCCAGTGACTGGAAAGATCAGAGCTGCCTGAAATACAGTGTTTGGTAACAGGACTCCAAGCATCTAATGGGCAGAATGCATTTCATTTGTTCTAAACGATTTTCTGCAAGTGAGCAAAATCCAAGGTTGAAGCTCTTAGCAAGAATATAACTGGCCTTCCATGCGAGTTCTGTAAGGCTTGTCAAGCAGGGGAACCCACACTGAAAGCTAGCAAGAATGCATTTAAAATGTCTACCATGCTACAGCCATGAGCTTCCTAACTGGGAACTACTACTCACCAGAACTGGAGGGGTGTTTGGTTCTTCATGATATTGATGAATTCTTTCCTCTCTTGTCTCCTGCAATAATGAGCATAGATTTAGCTGCCCAGGCAGTAAGGTAGAACTTGGAGCTATCCAAGTAGCAGGACACTGAGCAATTTCATAACATTAAACAAAGCAGGCACTTCCCCTCAAGCAGAATGCTTTCATTAGACTAATGTATTGAAGGAAGTGGCAGGATTGACTTTAATAGATATGTATTTTACCCTTCATCACTAGCAGCAATTGCTGTAGGTTAATAAAACAGAACTCTCACAATTCCAACCCTGAAAAGCCTTAAAACTTACTTCCACTCAATTCATCCAGCTTTTTTAAATTTTTTTAAATGCTATCTCTATGTGCTCACTCTCAGAACAAAAGCAGCGAGGAAGGTGGTGGAAGCAAATGCCTGAGATGCCACCTTCATGAAAGAGGGCAGTGAATCAGGGATTTCCACTGATTGAATATCTGCTTGTTTGTCCTCAAATAGGTATTACACGGAATAATTTCATTCTCTGAACAGCTCTGCCATGTTTCCTGAGGGTTTGCTGCTGAACTGAGCAACAGTAGTTAAAGAAATCAAACCAGAAGCATTTGTTGGTAAGGAAACACAGGAACACAGCAGGGACTTGATACAGCGCAGAGCTTCCAGCCTCTTGGAGAAACAGCAAAAGTTATTTATAGGGAAAAGACTGCCTGCTTATCTAGTGACAAGCTGATTAAATGAGTACCTACAACTTCATCTAAATTCTAGAAGCACACCCTGATCCTCCATCTCTTCGGTGTCCCCTAATTCTTAACACTTCCTCTAACCATGAAGAAATTTTGATTACAAGGAGGAAAGTATTTGGGCTGTTAAAAGATGCACCACAGAACTGTTCCCTGAGGAGTTAGCTCCTGACAGGTTATTCAAGAATCAGCTCCTCCATAGTGGAGACGTCAGTCTTTATGCTTGATGGTTGAAGTGTTTTTCTTTCAGCTACACTAGTACATGTGCTTGCTCAGTACTGGGCATTACAGGGTGTGCTCTCTGCAGGGACGCTAGTGCCTAGGTATTTTCTTATACAACAAGTTTGCATGCAATCTAAAGATCTCCCTGTTCTGATAGTTCTTTCGGACCTTTAGATATTTAAGCCTCTTAACGTATGTTTAAGTTAGGTCTTCTCAAACAGCAGGCAAGACAGACTATGGCAGGACTTTCCAGAAACACCGTGCATTGCATCGTAACATTTCAAGTTTCTCCCCCCTCCCCCC